ATTAATAAAATATAAGAATAAGAATAAAAAAGAAATAAAAAAATAACAAAACAAACTCTTATTGGGAACAAAAGAAAGAAAACGTTTCGAATGAATTCGCATCGTCATCATCAGGAAACTCCCTTGTGCTAGGCTTTTTACTAATCATCTGACTGCATTTCCTGTTGATGAAGGCACGTTTGCCAGTTTTTGTTGTGTCTGATGAATAACGCCTTTATTTCCTATTGGTTCTTTTTTCGTCGAAGTAAATGTTTGAATGATAGCAAAAAATAAAAAATAAAATAAAATAAAAAATAACATGAATGCGTAACGACAATATCATTTAAATAAAGAAAAACGGTAAGAAATAATAATAATAATAATAATAATAATAATGATATCAGAAATCAAATAAAAAAAAATAATGATATATAATAATAATAATAATAAAAATGAAAATAATAATAATTATTATTATTATCATTATAATATATCAGAAATCCAAATAATAAATCCAATAATAATAACAATAATAATAATATATAAAATCATAAAAATAATAATATTAATAATTATATGTCAGAAATCAAAATAATATTAATAATAATAATATATCAGAAAGCATACTAATAATAATAAAAAAAAAGAAGAAAAATGACAGCTAGTACTCAACGCAAAAACGTCCCTCAATAATAATAATAATAATAATAATAATAATAATAATAAAGACATCAGTGGCTGAGGAGCACCGGGTTGAAAGCTGTGACAGAAGGCCTAATCCTTACAGCTCAGGACAAAAGTCTCGCAACCAGATCCTATCACTGTCACATAATCAAGGCTGGGACTAACCCGAAAAGGAAGATTAGCGGAAAATATGATGAAAGTGTCGGCCATATTATCTCAGTGTTATGGGAACTTACCTATAATAATAATGGACTATTCCTGACATTATAAATACTGCGCCTCTCAAGAGGTATGAGGATAGATTGTAAGATGGGGAGAGATAATTGAGAGCATATTGTAAGGACATTGGAATAGTGATACTTGTCGAGATAACATCGTTCCATCTAACCCAATCTGATAGTCATTATTAATACTTCTACTTCTTTGTATTATATTTCTGTTGTAATATATCTTTGTATTCCATACCTGTGTTCGTGTTATTCTTTCATTGGTTCTAACCTTGGACCATCACCGTGGTACAAGGAACTTGGACCATAACACCCAGGATGTCCGGAACTGCCAAAAAATGAATATACCTACATAGATAACAAGATAGCAACATATGTACACTGAAAGATATGCAAGAAGCACAAAATCTAAATCACTGAGAGATGGTATGACCATCAACCAGACACAGTTGCCCAAAATAATGATGTAACTATCCTCTGGGATATGCCAATTTAAACTGACAGGGAAATAAAAGCCAACAGACCTGATATTATCATAAAAGACAAGAAACTCAGCAAGTGTATGCTTATTGACATAGCAATATCATCTAAAAGAAACAAATCCATGAAAATTATTGAGAAATTGTCCAAATACAAAGACCTGGAGATCGAGATTAACAGGATGTGGGGAATGAAAACTAAGGCTATACGAATAGTAATCGGAGCTCTGGGGTCGTGAGAAAAGGAATGAACAATTTTACTAATAGTGTCCCAGGTAACATCAACATACAAGTTGCCCTAATAGTAACATCCCATATAATAAGTGCTATCAATTAAATGGCAATTTTTCTATAGGGCCTAAAGATCATAGTTTGGACCCGGCTCTACAGGATACATATCAGGAAACAACACACAAACAATAATATTATTATTAATAATAATAGTAATAATAAATTAAGCGAATGCATGGCAAAACGAGAAAGCTTCTCGCCATCGCATAGATTATTCCAAGGCTGATATTGCATGTCTGTATGTGCCCAGATCCGAAGGAGGCAGAGGATTAGTTCAACTAGAACTGTCTTACAAAACTACAACAATCAGCCTTCAAAGATACCTGGAAACTACAGAAACTGGATGATGATATGTGTCAAAGAGCCTGAGAGGAGGAAGAAATTTTATTCACGAATAAATGAAACCACCAAATTCAAAATGGTGTTTCATGCGGGTGAAGAAATGCAAGTAAAACATAATACACCTACAGCAACCACAAAAACCTTCAAAAAGAAAGCAACGACAAATGCAACCGACCAGATCCAGAAACGATGGCAAGATAAAAAGATAAACCGTTTCACTGTAAATACTCTGCTCGTACCAAATAAGCTAATGTAGATAAACCCCATACCCATCAGTGGTTACGTAGTGCAGGGTTAAAAGCTGAAATCGAAGTTTTTATTCTTGCTGCAAAGGACCAATGCTTGATAACTAGAAATTACCAAGAACACATACTAAAAAATTATGTTAGCCAAAAATTCAGATTCCGTGATAAGTAACCGGAAACAATTGACCATCTTGTATGAGGTTGTACGGTATTGGCACCCAGTGAATGTAAAACCCGGCATGACTGTGGGCCAATATTTGTATTGGAAAATCCGCAACTTTTACGGAAAGGAAACTGCAAGAAATTGGTATGAACATCACCCAGACCCGCTTACAGAGATATGACCTATAACAATTTTATGGGACTTTACAATACTCTCTGACAAAACAGTCAAATCTAATCACACAGACATAGTGATTCAGAGATTTCAAGAACAAACTGTACTTTCTTATTAGACATGGCAGTCACTGCAGACTACAATGTATCTTTGAAGACCTTCAAAAAACTATCAAACGTCTTTCCGCTTGATGAAAACAGAAGGTATTGGCGAGACATTGGTAAGATCGATCTTTCTTACTTTCTTTCTTTCTTTTTTCTTTCTTTCACTGCAACCAAACAGCGTCTCGGCTGACTTTTCAGTCTTTCCGCGCGATGAAAAACGGAAGGTATTGATAGAACGTTTCTTTCTTTCTTTGTTTCTTTCTTAGAAGCCAATCAGCGTTACCGATATGTCTTTTCCGTCTTTCCACCCATTGAAAATGGAAGGTATTGGTAGGACGTCCAACCAATCTCAACAGGTCTTTTTGGTAAGAGTCTGACGAAAGACACACCCTGGTCCTCCAGATTGGGGGTTGTGTAGTAGACTAAAACCATATTCACTTAAAAACTAGCTTCTTACAGAAACCTCATTGATATCTTCAAAAATGGCCAAGGGAGAGTCCGCCAGTCTATAAGAGCTGATGTGAGATTGTTTTTTTTAATACCCACAAGTTTTCACTTGAAGCCATTATGAATCATTCATTTAAAAATTCTAACAGAAAATAAACTATAAACAATAAGAATCCTTCACGAGATTAAAAATTTATTAAAATGAATTTACACACAACCAAAGAATTTCGAATTAGATTCCATCATACAAGGCCGTCTTTAAGTTTTAAATAATTTGGCAACGTTTAACATTTGACTACCTTCTCTGCCAATGAAATAGGATGATGTCGAATACTAACGGATTTTAGAGAAAATTAAGTGAAGTCTTTTAAGAAATATATGATTTCTGTGAATACATTCAGGTTAGTATAGAAAGAAAAATCATATCTACGAAACTCCGAGTCGAAGAGATAAGTTGAACATTTAAATTGTTGCAATAGAATTATATCCAAAATCAAAAAGCTGTTCTTGCAAATGAAAATAAAATATCTTTAGAGATATTTTGAAATTTTAAAATTCAAACGGACTACCAAATTCAGGTCAGAAGACTAGATCCAGTTCTTATAAACAAGGAAAAGAAATCTATTCAGTGAGATTTTGAAATTTAAACGGACTACGGAATCCAGAAATCCAGACGAAGTCCAGTCTTTATAAACAAGCAAAATAAAATTATTCAGTGGAATTTTGAAATTAAAACGGGCTACAGAATCCAGGTCAGGAGACGAAAATCAATGCTTAAAAAACAAGGGAAATAAAATTATTCAGTGTCATTTTGAATTTCAAATGGACTACCCAATCCACTTCAAGAAACCAGATCCAGTTCTTATAAACAAGGAAAATAAAATTATTTAGTGGGGTTTTGAAATTCAAACGGAATACCGAATCCAGGTCAGAAGACTTAGATCAGAGTTCTTATAAAGAAGGAAAAGAAAATTTTTCAGTGGAAATCCTTATAAACAAGGGAATGAAAATTCCTTAGATTATGTTCCAGTAGATCATAAAAATATAAAGAGAATGTAATAAGTAAGAGGAATATCCAGACATTTTGAGCGACTGAAAAATAAAACCAAAAATCGTAGAATTAGAAATATCATTATTTGTGCTTTTTGAATAGTTTCGAAGTGATTGAAAAAAAATTGAATCTCTAATGATGGACTGGTACCATCCCGATGACCACCTTAGTATATTCAACAAAAAAAAAGGCGAAATGTTTTGCAATTTAGAGGAGACTTGTTGTCACTTGGTCTTATAGGAGAAATACCAAATGTGACTGGTGAGCATGACTCTCCCCTACTTCCGATGCGTTACAGATCTTAGTGTAATGTTTGTCATTTCACCATACCTCCCATTCACTGCTTTGTCGTCCATTTATACCAGGTTGTTATGTAGGTTACTCGCTGCTTTATTTTATCCTTCTTGCCTTCAGTATGTCCTGTGAGTGTTAAATTTTCCAATCTATCTTTCCTTATTATGCGTTCAATAAATTTCAATTTTCTTTTTTTGGTTCTAAGTATAAAGGACCATTATTCAATGTTCCTTAAAATTTACGCATTACTCACATGTTCACTTCATGGTATTCTCAGCATCCTACTGTAGAACCATATTTCGTCATGTCTCTCCTTCATCTGGGAGCAGATTGTTCAGCGTTTACAGGAGGACCGATATGACTGTAATTTTTTTCATTCTTTCTAACGAAATTTTCTTGTTTCTTAATAAGATTGTGGAAGGCATCTTTTTCTATTCCAATGCATCTTCGGATCTCAGTGCCACATTTCCCGTCTTTTGTTAAAACATTTCCCAGATATTTGAATTGTTTGATTTTGGAATTAAAGAATAAAAGAATGAAGAATGAAAGAATGAAAGAGTAAAATGATTAAAAGAATGAAAGGAATAAAAGAAGGAAAGGAATAAAAGAATGAAAGAATAAAAAGAATGAAAAGAGTAAAACGAATAAAAGAACGAAAAGAATAAAATAAGTAAAAAGAATAAAAGAATGAAAGAATAAAAGAGTAAATTGAATAAAAGAATAAAAAGAATAAACGAATAAAAGAATAAATACAAAAAATGAATGAAAGAATAGAAGAGTATAATGAATAAAAGAATGAAAAGAATAAAATAAAAAGAATAAAAGAATGAAAGAATAAAAGAAAAAAAAGAATAAAAGAATATAAGAGTATAATGAATATAGAATGAAAAGAACGAAGGAATGAAAATAATAAAAGAAATAAAGAATAAAAGAATGGACAGAATAAAAGAATGAAAGAATAAAAGAAAGAAAGAATAAAAGAATATAAGAGTATAATGAATATAGAATGAAAAGAACGAAGGAATGAAAATAATAAAAGAAATAAAGAATAAAAGAATGGACAGAATAAAAGAATGAAAGAATAACAGATTAAAAGATAAAAGAAGAAAAAATAAGAAAAAATGTAAGAATAAAAAGAGTAAAAAGAATAAAAGAATAAAAAGAAAACTGGTCTAGACTATTGATATTAATGGAAGTGGAGGGGGGGAGTTACTAGGCAAGTAAGCATATTTCGTGTTACATTTCCTCATTATAGGCATTATTATTATATCTGTGATATAATTATACCTAAATACCGCTATGTCATATAAAAAAATTATATATATATATATATATATATATATATATATATATATATATATATACTCATCACTAATTTGTCTCACACAGAGAAAATTCTAACATATGAATAAGACAAGAAGAATGGAAATGTGAAAGGCGAGAATGGTCTTGGAATCTTACCCAAAGGGAAAATGGTCATTCCCGTGGATATATTCTACGATCTTCGATTTACTATGTTCTATCTGTTCTTCCTGCCGTTGTGGGTTTGGGATGACGTCTAGCGCCTTAGGGGTCTATCATCACCAACTGACAGGGATGGACATGCCTTGTCTATATGCGGGCTAAATAGCAACTCCAGTTTTGTCACCGCATGAATTCGCGTCACGTGACCCCTCGTGAATTCGTCATCACCAAAGGGAGATAATCGCCGCTCGCTCCTTATAGGAAATTTTCAATAATCTTAAATGTCTTTGAATATAAATATCGGTTTCTTTTCAGTGATAATACTCTAAAGTTAATCCGTAGAAAAGAAAAGAAGGGTTTTACGTCTTTAAATCAAACATTTTCAAAATAAAGAAAAGAGTAACAGCAAACTCACATCCGCCCAATTCGATAAGCTAATTTGACGGATGCCGATAAGGGAAATAAAAACATTTAAAAAAAAAAAATGTCTTTAAAATCCAGTATGTATCTCAGACATTTGATTCAAAGAAGATTTGGTTTGTTAATTGTGTTTAGCGGCATATCAACACTTTTATGGGTTATTAATGCCGAAATCTAAATAATTTGAGCACAATTTTATGGCTTCAACTAAATATATTTTGAACGCAACTATATGCCTTCAACTACAGATAAAATGTATTGTTGGTTACGCATTGTTAGTCTGTTTTATATAAAAATGTATTTCTGGTATTTTTACTATTAAAATGTATTTTTATACTTTACTAATGTTTTCTTTGGGGCGCTATTTGGTCATAGCTGGGACCCTAACAAGTGCTACCACCCCAGGTTAGGGTGACCCTGGGAACAGCAAAAACTAAGAGGTGGTTCCACGCTTCTCAAAAACCCCAATCACCCAATCAGATGCCTTGCTGCCGGATGTAGTTTATCGTCATATCCAGGACTTTCAAAGAAGAATAGTACATTTAAAGATTGAATAACTCGATTTTCTAAAAAAAAAGTTTTTGCTTAAAATATGACGAAAAATACATCTTCTCCAAGCAGGCTATGTTCTCTCTTGTCAACACGTTGAAAAGTAAACAGTATTTCTTTTACGGCACTGCGTCTACTTAAAAAAAAATGATATGTCCCTGAAAGGGATATATTTGTTCGAAGTAGCAAAGTGGTTTTAGACTACTGTAACCGGGTAGGACAATCTAGCAGTTTACCGTAATGGACTGATCCTCGTCGTAGTGGTAGCCAATAGGCGTAGGCAATAGGCGTAGTCCATGTACCTTCACATCAGTCTGTATTTATGGCTGAAACCAGACAACCATATTACTGTGAGGGGGAACCCAGGTAAAATAAAAGTGCGCCATATATTAAAACAAATATGGAAGACCAAAAGTGAAAAAAAAAAACATTAATAAATAAAGAATAAAAACATTAGGTGTAAATTTTAGAAAAACTCGCATTATAGTTTTTCGAGCAAATGAAATCAATATTTTTTTTTTTGAGTGGGTCTCAAAATTTTCTTCAAGTCAGTGTACGACACGTGTAGAAAAAATGTCGGAACAATTTTTAATGACTAAAAATTGTTTAACTGAAAAATGAAGAAAGTAAGGATCTCAAAAGAACAACTTACTTTTATTCCTTAAATTCCCGAAGTTTTGAAAATAAGAAACTGGAAAAGAACACTAAAACAAGCTTACAAATTTCGCAGCTTCGTAACCCAAACATGGAACGTTCCAACATCATTGATCGGACTCTGAAATTTTCACCTATCGCCATAAAAGGGTGTTCTCTCAGATATCGTACAGACAAATCTAAAGATGCTGCAGAAATGGTCAATTCCCTGACTCCTCTTGATATGATATCCCGACCTTTACATGAGCGAAGATCAGGCCTAAAATGGACTACTGTTGTCATACTTGGGCGGGTGATGCCCAATCATCACATTCCAGCGTCGATAGAGCACAAAAAGCGTTTCCAAGTCCTTATGTGTGGCAAATTAGTTTCCACCGTCTAACCTCTCTCTCAGAAGCGGTAAGTGACAAGCCATTTGATGCTTTCACGGAAAGTGCTCGAGCGAAATACATTCCTTAGTTCGACCAGTTCGGTTCTTCACGGTTAGGACTTGTCATGCTAAGAAAATAACACCTCTAATCAAACGAGTCCCTGCCTCCTCTTTCAAGTGGGCACAAGATATTAAATACAGAACATGTTAAACTAGCAGCATCGGTGAGGATGTTAGCCATATAAAAATATTTAGGAGATTTGTCTGGAATAAGGCCAATATATGGACGTAATAAAGGGCTCATATATATATATATATATATATATATATATATATATATATATATATATATATATATATATATGTACTGTTTATTTCTGCGTATAAGAGAAACATTAAATTCCAAAAAAATCACATTTCAAATTTGGGGTTTGTCTTATACTATGAATAAAAAAAAATAACAAAACCATTTCTATCTTAGATATTAGTGGCATAACTTCATAATAAATTGCCTATTCGAAGAATAATTCCCTATATATATATATATATATATATATATATATATATATATATATATATATATATATATATATATATATATATATATAAAAAGGCTCAAACACTAAAACACTAATATTCCATGGTTATAATTTATTACATAGGAATCTCTAATCATGATCCAATTCATCAGACCAACAAATTCAAAAAGAATTTTGAATTTGTCTGATGAATTGTATCGTGATTAGAGATTCCTATGTAATAAATTATAACCATGGAATATTAGTGTTTGAGACTTTTATATTATATTCTTACTTTGTCCTGACATTGAGTTCTACCTGGATTCTATCCCTCGAAATATATATATATATATATATATATATATATATATATATATATATATATATATATATATATATATATATATAGTAATAGTAACAAAACCGTTGGTATGTAATCCAAAGAGATCCTAGTAATATAAAATATTAAAACGGATACATAAAAAGGTTTCAATGTATTTATTATTACAGAACAAATAATAAACACAAATTTTCTATTATATATATATATATAGTAGCGTCTAAAACTAAGGGACAAAATTTTAAAACCTAATATTTGTTAGAAATAACAACTGTGAAAAGTTGAAATTTTGACAACTGGTAGTCGTTATCATCCATAATAACATACTAAAATTTGATTCATATACAAAGGATAGAAAAAGAATTATAACAATTATTTATTTATTTTCAAAATAGGATCGTCCAAAAGTAAGGGACAAAATTGAGAAAAACAATGTAAACAGTATGCTATATTTAAATTTTTTGATTTCCTCTAAAGAATAACTCTTACTTAGTCATTTGTAAACGTTGCATCAGCCCGCACCATGGCGAAACGCCAAAAACTTGATTACTCTGTGAGACAAGCTATTGTGAAGCTACACAAGGAAAAGCACACCATTAGAGAGATTTCAGAGAAAGTGAAACGTTCCAAGAGTATTGTAGGCAAGGTTGTCAAATCCTACAATGATACTGGCAAAATAGTTAGTGCTTTTAAAACCGGCAGACCCCGCAAAACTTCGGCAAGAGAAGATCGAATAATGCAGCGTATGTCATTTAAGGACCGTTTTAAGTCTTGCACAGAAATTAAAAGGGTTATGAATAGTACCTCATGTGTTAATGTGTCAAGACAGACTCTTTGTAGACGACTGAAAGAAATAGGGCTGTTTAATCGAACCCCAGGGAAGAAACCACTTGTTAGTTCGAAGAATAAGAAGAGATTAGAGTTTGCAAACAGGTATGTAATTTGGACATATGAAAATTGGGCAAAAGTATTTTTCAGTGATGAAAGCAAGTTTAATTTATTTGGAAATGATGGAAAAACAATGTAAAGAGACGTATTGGTGAAAGATTAAGTGCAAAGTGTACTAAGAAAACTGTCAAGTTTGGGGGCGGAAGCGTCATGGTATTTGGAATGTTTTCTAGCCAAGGTACAACGCCTCTTGTTCGGTTACAAACTCGTGTAAACGCGCAGATCTATAAAAACATTGTTCAAGATCATGTTGTGCCAATCATACAGAATTCAGGTTTTGATAGGGCTACCTTTATGCAAGATAATGCCCCATGTCACAAGGCAAAGGTGGTAATGAGTTACCTTAGCGAGCAAGATTTGGAAATTATGGATTGGCCACCGCAAAGTCCTGACTTAAATCCAATAGAAAATCTTTGGAAGACCTTAGGAGTGAAAGTTATGGAAAGAAATCCCACTAACACGGAGGATTTGTGGGTGAAGCTTCAAGAAGAATGGTCTAAAATTAGTATCGAGGATTGTCAAGAACTGATTCGTTTTTGTAGTCGAAGATGTGCAGCTGTCATTGAGAGCAAGGGCTCATTTACTAAATATTGATTGTACATGTATTTTTATTGTTTTTTTGCCGTTTACATTGTTTTTCTCAATTTTGTCCCTTACTTTTGGACGTTCCAAATTTGAAAATAAATAAATAATTGTTATAATTCTTTTTCTATCCTATGCAAATGATTCAAATTTTAGTATGTTATTATGGATGATAACAACTACCAGTTGTCAAAATTTCAGCTTTTCACAGTTGTTATTTCTAACAAATATAAGGTTTTAAAATTTTGTCCCTTAGTTTTTGGATTATATATATATATATATATATATATATATATATATATATATATTGATACATGTTTCATTAAATAAGAGATTGAATTCGAGATGTATCAAGTATGGGAAGCTGTTGGTATAAACCAATGGCTTCTGTTACCAATTATAGACATTTAAGAATATTTGTGGAGATTTCATAGTTTATTTTGTTCAGGTTAGGTTTCAAGTGTTTTATGATCAAGTAAAATTTTTTTTCATTAATGAAAAATGCTGCTAAATACACATAATATATATATATATATATATATATATATATATATATATATATATATATATGATAAAGATATAGTTTTAAGGTAAGCTATATTTATGGTTAAATTTTACGATGTTTACAGCTGAGCTTGAATGAACACAAGTTGATTTAATTGATGTGGAATTATTCTTTGAACAGACAATTTATAATGAAATTATGCCAATAATATATGTTAGAAATGATTTTATTACTTTTATTATCAGTTAATTTGATAATGTGAATCTTTTCATGTACATTATTGGTTATCACACCGAGTTTGAGGTTAGCCTACCGACAAACATCACTCAAAATTTATGGTTTCTATTTTGGAATTGTAGCATAAGACGACCCCCAACTTTTAAGGGTGATTTGGGGGATTTAAAAGTCGTCTTATACACGGAAATATACAATTCTCTCAAAAAAATGGCGCTAAAAACTTTAAAGTTTATGAATTTTCAGAGATTTATCTTATACTAGCAGTAGAGCCCGGCGTTGCCCGGGGATGTAACAGTAAGAGATAGATCAAGTATCGACCATCATAAAGACTGAAAAATAAAATTGACAAAGATTATTGTTTAAGGTTGACGGACACACATGTCTTAATTAGTTTTTTTTTTACGAATTGGTCAAACCCAAACTCAAACAAAAACATTGTTTTCAATCGTTATGAGTCTACCGATTGAATAGAATTTTATTATAAACAATTGTCTTGTAAATGAAATTTTTAAAGCATTCTGAATGTAAAAACAACGAAAAAAGTGTGCAAGACAATAAGAAACACTACCTGCCAAAAAAAAAAAACAGTGAAGTTTTGTTGAAATCGGTTGAAAAATGTAGGAAATCCGATCCCATATATAAACGAACACACACAAACAACTTGGATTTTATAATATGCATAACTCGATATGAGTTGTCCCCCTTTCATTCTCGCGACAGCGATGCCTCTTAATCGTGTTTTCAAATTGATTTCATGCAAAAACAATTGTGTTTTTCCAAATTTTTGCGCTGTCAGAACCACCGTAATTTTACGTAGTCCTGTGAAGTTTTGTTGAAATCGGTTGAAAAATGTAGGAAATCCGATCCCATATATAAACGAACAGACACACACAACCCGGGTTTTATAATAAGTATGATCACGTTTTTCAGCTACAACCAAGATTTGAAAGATTTTTTAAAAATTACGCTGTAAATATATGTCAAGTTTTTTTTTTTTTTTTTATACAAATGAATATCCAACGGAGATTTGTTTCTGGTTGGGAACCCAAAATATACAGTATATTTTATTTAAATTAGTTATCAACAACTCTCCACAAAAAAAATTAAAAATAATAAAAAAAGATAATTCAGTATAAATTTCATTCATTAATTAATAAATGGTGAAATTTTCAATGAAATTACATGATTACCTGATTTTCGTTAAAATTTTAAAATCAGGAGTTAGTGGGTTTCTTTGTTCGCGCGTCGAAAGTGCCTGGTTCTGGCAACGTCTATTAATAATTGAGTGATTTTTTTATCGTTGAAGATCGTATTTAAAGGTGAGTCCGCGGGCCGATTCGAATAAGGAAGGCAGCCATTTTAGATTAGTTTTTTTTTGCCAAGGAGAAAAGGTAGCAGATGGTAAAAGATAATTATTTGTAAAACCATTTTTTGTCAGTGTTTCACACGAATATAACATGACAAAACAGCCCGATTGATGCAGGAAAGAAAACTGATCGTCCGTGTAATAAAAAGTCGAGGTACAACACGACCCTGCATCTCCGCTTAACAATTACGTCACGCTATGATGTCATACGAATACGTCATTGGTTTTAAAAGACGCCCATCACGGGGGTCCGGGCGATGGAGTCTCCATTGACGTCTTGTGTTGCTGAATGGAAACCTAGGCTTTAAATGTGCAGTAAATGTCCTTTACTTGTACATCCCAACACTGTAAAGAGGACTTGTGTATCACTAACCGAAAAATCTATAGATCTTTCTCCTGAGAGAACAATAGGTTAGGTCTCCGGAAAAAAAGCCACATATTGGGTTTTGTTTTGTGTTTGTTTAGAGGGGGGAAGAAAGTAAAGTGTTCTTTCGGAAGATGTTGAATATGACAACAATGAAGATGGGGATAATAACGATTTGTAATGATGGAAACACACGAAAGAGAAGAAAAAGGGAATGAGAAGACGAAGAAGAAGAAGAAACGAAGAAGAAAAATTTAATGAAAAGAAAAAGAACAAAGAAATATGAAAAAGAAGAAAATAAGAAAACATGTAAAACAAAGAAGAATGAATAAAAAAAAGAAAAGAAAAAAGAAGATAATAGAATGAGGAGAAAAAAAAGAAAAGAAAGTTAAAATAAAATACGAATACAGGAATGAAAAGAAGCAAATGAGAAAAATGAGAAGGAAAAGAGAAAGGAAAGGAGAAAGGAAAAGAGAAAGGAAAAGAGAAAGGAAAGGAGAAAGGAAAAGAGAAAGGAAAGGAGAAAGGAAAAGAGAAAGGAAAAGAGAAAGGAAAGGAGAAAGGAAAAGAGAAAGGAAAGGAGAAAGGAAAAGAAAGGAAAAGAGAAAGGAAAGAAGAAAGCAAAGGAGAAAAGTGTGATAAAGTGAAAATGAAAGCGAATAAAAAGAACGAAAGAAATCGTGACATAAAAAAATAAAGTTACAGAAAAAAGAGGAATGAAAAGGAAAAAGAAAAGAATGAGAAAAAGAAAAGAAGGAAAAATATAATACATAGAGAAAAAGAAACAAATGAGAAGAAAAAGAAAGAAGGAAAAAGAAAAAGAAAAGAAAGAAATGAGAAGATAATACAATGAGAAAATAAAAACAAAAGAAAGCGAAAAATAACACAGGAATAAAATGAAAAAGAAAAAGAAGAAAAGAAGAAAAAGAGGGGAAAGAAAAGAAAATGAAAAAGAAAGAATTGAAAAATTAGTTTCGTATTTATTTGTTTTTACATCTGTTACCCGCACTTATTTAATTTTATGAAATTTCGAGAAATTCATTTTTATACGCCTTAATGCTTATATTACTTAGAATCTTTAGGGAAATTAAACCGTCAATGTTTTTTTTTTTGTAAAATAAAAAATGCAATAAAACTAAGATTATTCAATTACAAAAGTTTTTAATTGCATTTATGAATAAGATATACTATGGACTATTGTTTTTTATAAAATTTTTCGATGAATAATGAATTCTTACAATATTTGATTTCATTTTTAAAAAATGAATCAGAATAATTTATTAAGTTTTAGTCTTTTAAAATTCTGTATTAATGTGTATCGGTTAGATGATATTGTTATGTGAAAACTATATTTACCTAATTATAAATGGAAAAGCTTACTACAATTTGGCGACCACCAGTATTTTAAAAAGAATTTTGAATGTGGGCGTGTATAAACATAGTGATTTTTGTAAATACGGGTATCAATACACGATATACAGTAGAAAAATAAGGGAAATAACTATAGTAAATTTAAGGCCAATGTACCTAAAATTCAATAAAACATTAGATTACAGGGAATATTTTCCTAATTACAGAAAATATTTTCCTAAATTTTAAAGATTACCGGGTTGTTAAAAAATATCTCTAATATTATACAGCGTAACCCGGATATAAGAGAGGTGTCGAAACCTTGGAAAATCTACAATATATTCCAGTAAAATGTCCCCATCAATTATAATTATAGTTTAGATGGCTTCTGTTTCTCCAATTCAACCTTTAACGTGTTAACCGTTATTACTGAATATGTCTGTCAAGCTTTTAGATAAGGACGGCGAGGCTCGGGTTGTGGCTTTAGACATCTCGAAAGACGTTTAACTAGGTTTCCTGGGAACACTTTTCTGAACATTTTGCTGATTTAAATTATCTTAATATTCAAGAAATTTGATTTAAAAAGGAGAATTCAAGAAATTTGGCCCGGGCATTCTTTTTTAGCTTTGGGGCGTCAAAAAGCAATGAAAACACACACACACACACAAAAAAAAAAACAAAAAAAAACAAGTACAATATTACAAAGAATTATGTGTATCCTAGGTATGACAATAAACTACATCCGGCAGCAATGATTTTAATCTGGAGGTTTTGAACCACCTCTTAATTGCTGTTGTTCTTAAGTTCACCCTGACCCTAGTTAGGGTCCCAGCTATGGGCAAATAGTTAACCTCCAAACTTAGGCCAAAAAAAACTGTGAAAGTGTAAAAATAGGTTTTTATAGTAAAAATACCAGCAATACATTTAAAAAAGAATTACCATTACATTTAAAATAAAAAATATTAGCAGCAATATGTTTTTTGAAAAATATTACCAGAAATACATTTTTTGAAAAAAAAAAAAAAATTACCAGCAATACATTTGACTCTCGACAAAACCCTCTTTACAAAAATACGTCACTGAAACCTGATCTACAAACTGATTCCTTACAAAGAGTACATATTCTATTCATACGAACCTATCCTAATAATCTTGTCGGCATTAAATAACCCATTGAGGTATTGATATGCCATAAAACAAAATAAACCAAACCAAAGAATTGTGTTAATTTATCAGCACCATCTGTCCATCGACTGCATCAATCGTTGAGGGGAAACCTAAGAAAAAAATAGCCTCCTTCAGGCTGATCTGTTGGCAGTGCCTCTCAGTAGGTCCGACATTGACATATTTGTTCATCCTTTGATGTTGTCTGACCAGCTTTTGCGTTGCCATCCCTGCTTGCGTCCACCTTCAACATTATGGTCTTGCCGAAGCTGTTATGCCGTGTGACGTGGCTAAACCATCCCATCTTCAGGCGCTTAATAGTGACGACGAGAGATTCCTGTCGGTCCACGACTCTTTTGAACTTGTTCCGTACATAGCCATTAGTTTTGTGCTCCCAGTAGGAGATGCAGACGAGCTTCCTTAAGCATTTGTTCTCGAACGGCTGGATCATTTTTTCTGTCTAAACCAGGAGTGGCCATATCTCACACCCGTAGAAAAGGATGAAGGCAACCAGCAATTCGTAAGAGCTTGAACTTGGTCTGGAAGTTGATGTTGCTCTTCCATAGCCTTTCCAGTCTGGCCATGGCTGCTGGGGCGAGCCGTGTGCGGATTTCTGTGCTGCGGTCCCAACGTGTAAACTATGGTTGTTCGTCCAATGTATTCGGTTGTTATTCTTCCATTTGGCATTTGATGACAAATCCCTTTCCATATTATTTACTGTTTCAAAAGCTATTAACTTGTTATTGATGGGCACGAATTCATGGGAAAAATAGTGGAGTGGTTTCCCCTAGCCATCTCCATGGATTTGAATTTAGAGTTTTCACTCTTTTAGACTGTTTGCCACACAAGGATAAAGAAGCAGTCCGTTCTGACATTTAAAACATTTCTTAAATGCCATGTCTCTTAAGGGCGTTCCCTTTTTTATTATCTGTAAATTGCCATGTGTTCTTAGGAAAGATCAGTCAGTTATTTGCCATGCATGGTACACGCTTATGCGATCATGTATCTTTCAATACATGACTGACGATGCAGATTTTTTTCCCACAGTAGGTTCCCGTTTCTTTCTGCGGTAGACTAGTTGTCATCCAAGGCTATAGAACCTGGTATATCCTGCTATTTACCCATAGCTGGTGGGGAGAGAAGAAGAGGATTCATACCTTTCCCAAGGGTATTAGCATGTAAGTGAATGTAATGGATTTGACTGGAATTCGAACTCGGCTCTCCGATTCCTCAATCCGAGCCGCTATCCAATATACCACCGTTTCCTCTTAGGAAAGATAGTGGAGTAGTTTCACATTCTCTTCCCTACGCCTTTGTATTTAGAGATTTTTCTCCTTAAATGGCTTTTCCACCCGACTGCCTAATGTAACCTGGTATGTAATAACTTCTTAAATGCCATATCATTTCAGTACGTACGCGGCTATGGCTTTCTATAGTTCCTTTCCTTTACTATCACTGTATTACCACGCCTTGTTAGGAAAGGTAGTGGAGTAGTTTCGCATTGTCTTCTTCATTGTTATGAATTAAGGGTTTTCCTTTTTTGAAACTGGTTGCCAGCCAGCGCTAGAAAGCCAAGTCTACTCTACTATTTAACGCAGATCTAGATGCAGGGCCTTCTCACTACTTAGCCCAATGGTTCCCAAACTTTTTTTCTCATTTTCAGAATAAAAATTTGCTCGCATCCCACTGATTCGAAATCAGAACATTATCATTGATAACTCTCTCCTGCAATTTGTGGACCCTAGTTACTATCTGTCTATAGTTCTGAGATGAGGTATTATGTGCACTATTTACATTACATTTGCATTACATTGCAATATGAGCACTGATAAAAAACGGTTACTGAAGACATTAGGTTTATAAATTCAGAAATTCATACACAGATATCCTCAAGGGCACATGGCACAGTGGATAAAGGCGTTAGTTAGATCCAGTGACAGGATCCAAAGTGTGGGAGTTCAATACCCGGTTAAGGCAGTGGATTTAGATGATAACTGACATCCATTAGACATGGCAGGAACTAGAACAATTTACCCCAGTGAGCGAAATAAGGGTTCAGTTCGACATTCCAACCACCTGAAGAAGGCCGGAGCGTACAACGACCGAAACATTGTAATAAATATGGCGAAAACGATGAGGACAATAGTCCGAATGATGTAAATAGTCTACCTAGTTACTATATTCTTAATACTTGATATAATGCAAAAATATCACAATGATAAAATCGGTCAATAACTATTTATACTGGGACTCAGGCATGTAATTAATATTTTAATTTTTTAAATCATATTTATTTTTGGCATATCAATTTTTGAAACTGTTTCTAAATCTTTGATTGTCCGTTAATCATTGCGCCTCACCTGCTATCCGCTTCTGCAACGTTTGGAATCCATTGCCTTAGAGGGATTCCCTCTTGATTGACCATGTATCCATTACTGTCGTCGTACTTATCACGCTTGATCAGCTGCAGTTTGGTGAGATTATTTAACCCATAGAGGGAAGTTTTGAATTCAGTGTTGTCTTTCTCCTAGACTGGTGGCCACCCAAGGCTATAGGACCAAATCTGGGGGAAGAGGAGATGGATTAATACCTTTCCCAAGGGTATGTATCTGTAAGTAAATGTAACAATCTCAACTGGAACTCGGTTCATCTATTCCTCAATTACAGCTGCTACCCATTAATCTACAATGCTTCTATTATACTATTATCCACAGTAATAAATCGTACTATACATCCATGTAGACAACGCCACCTAAAACGCATTAGCAAACATCCCAAGATTTAAAGAAAGGAAT